GGGGAGGGGCGGGGGCTGGACGGGCCCCGGCCCCGCCAGTCGCTGCTCCGAGCCCAGCCTCACGGTTTGGGTCAAGTGGGCAGCAAGGCGCAGAACCCTAAGCAAGGTCAACCCCGGAACTGTCGAACCTACAGCTTCAGGAAACGTGATGAGTGAGCTGACTGGCGCGTGTGACTGTCATGTCTCTCAGGCTTTAGAACCATCGTCTGTTGTAACGCAGGCTTGCACAGATTTTAAGTGGTATGAAGCAGGATGTAGCCTAGCTGTAAGGCATTTTCAGGATGTGGAGGGACAGTATTTATGAACGATTCATCTGCACGTTCACGTGGGGGGATTCCAAAAACCCACACCAAAAAAGTGAAGTATTTTCACCAATTTCTTTAAAGATTGTAAACCACTCCTGCCCGCTTAAATTTGAAACTACAGAGTGTACTGCTACAGGAGCAGCAGTATGATTGTGGCAGTGTCATCCCTTTCACCGTGAGTTAGCAAATGTGCCTGCCAAGCAAAGCCAAGGGCTGGCGCAGCGAGGTGCCAGCTCGGCTCTCCCCAGCACGGCGCAGGCTACGTGGGTGCATGTGCTTGCTCACAACCAGCTCTGCAATTGCTAACAAACCCCGTGTCCTGTTGCATGAATATACTTGAGGAGAAGCAACCCTCATGCTGGCACATAAAGAGCTGGCAAGAGCCGGTGATACATTTCAGTAGGTTCTGATTAAAAGTATCTGCTTAAGTGACTTGAAAGCAGGTAGTCTGGGAAATGCTTCCCATGGCTAGGCAGTGGTGACACAACCCTTGATGGGAAGGCTGCGGAAGCCTGACTAGTCACAGGCTTCATTGGACACTTGTGTAAGTTTTCAGGAGCAGAATACAACATTGAACAACTGCAGGACACCCTTCTTTGTAGCATGTCAGCAGCTCTACCTGTTGCTGTCAGTCTTCCTTGTCAACAGGAAGCAGAGTTCTCCAAAAGATGCCCAAGTGGACATCTAGAAGCACAACCACTGCTGGCTGGGCTGGTGCCAGCGTCAAAATAGCAAATTCCACTGAAGGACACTGCCCCTACTGATTTTTTTTTTTTTTTGATCAATGGAACAAATAAAAAAAAGCTGCTTAGGGTTTATAAAATTAACAGGTCATGCAGCCTTGCCACTGACAGAATCAGCCAAAAGAACTCCCAACAATTAGTTAATCAGTTCCTGAAACCCCTCTTCAATTGATATTGCACAGTTCCCAGAACAATCTGTTCTGGCACTTGACTCTCTTTACTATTAAAAAGATTTTTTTCCAGACTCAGTCTGGATTTTTTTTTGTTTCTTGCACTACAATTTATGCTCCTAATCTCTAGTCCTTTCACCACAGACATGGTGGTGAACGCTGTCTTTCTGTAACAGCCATTACATGACTGAAAACTTGTGCTCCCCCCATCTTCCAATCTTCTCTTCTTTCAGGTAGCCACCTCCTGTTTTTTCCCAGTCCCTCTCAGCTGAGCATTCCAGACCCTAGCCATTGTTTTTTTCTTCCCTCATTTACCTTCAGGTGGCCAGTATTTTTTATAACTTTTATGGACAAAGCCAGTTTAAAAGTGTTCATCATCAGGCTGGTCACAGATAAACCAAGATTTCCTCTGCATGGACCAGGGTGGGCATCCATCCCACCACTTTTCAGGTCCCTAGCTAGAAGCCATCACCAGTTTAACTAACCCAATGTGTCTAGCCAAATCAATTACGGTGCCCTCCCTGCAAGGGATTTCACAGTAACAGCAGTCTGTGCAACTACTTAGTAATAGTTCTGTTTAATTTTACCCAAACAAGTTTATGCAACTGCAGTTTATTCCATGTCTCCCCTCTTCTATGCTTCAAGCTTAAAATAACCAAGAAGTAATCCTTTCAATTTCAGCCTTTTAAATCATAGTGCTATATCCACAATCATTCTGTGATTACCACTTCTACAGTAATAAACTAAATTAGCACAGACTGAGCTCCACCAGTGGACTGTTTCACACCGCGCAGGGACTAGGAATTTTGCCACTGTTAGAGAGAACTCATTTCGATCAGAATATGTATCACCAGTGGTTAAAAAATAAAAAGGATTAGTGGCTTTACCATATTGCCTGTGCTAGTGATTCTGTTACACAGGACACACTTTCTGGACAGCTGAGTAATACAAGTGAAGTTGCAATTTGCTACTTCAGATTTCAGGCTTTGTATTGTACTTACAAGGAAATAAAAATTATAAGGTAATACTGAAATTAACAGGAAGTGAAATTATGGAAAGACACAGAAGAAAGCACACACCATACAATAAGGGGTTGATGATGTATTTATGTCATTAAGTCATTCACTCATGCATTTTCACAATTCATATGAAGGCAGGTTTGTTCAAGTAACAGATAATTAATATACTATGCTAAACCCTCCAAAACAGTAAACCAGCTTCAGGAGGAAGACCAATATATTACTTTTTATTACTTCTTTTGGCAAATCAGTAGCATGACTGAGAGTATCAGGACACTTAGTTTGAGACAAAAATTGGTGGTACTATGCACTAGACTTTGATGTGCAAAATATATTTGCTTAATAAGAACATAATCAGTAGATTACAAATTGATTACTTCAAGTTCCTTAGCTACTGCTTAGTTAAAGATGCTTTAAAAAAAAGAAATTTTAACAAGATTACTGATGTATTTAGCAACACTAAAACCAGCAATGTTTAAAATGAACATAAAATATAACACAAAACATTTTCAACCATGTAAAAGAATGCCGCACATACTTCAATATACAGATTATATTGTTACTACAATTTTCTTTTTCAGACTCCTTCAGTATAAAGAAGTTGATAATGGTCTATGTCAACTAACACTTGATTTCTTTCAAAATTAAGAACCTTTGAAACAGCAAAGTGTTACAGACATAATATTGGAAAAGAAAAAAATTTATGCACAGTTTGAGCACCCAATTCTTTTAACACATATGTATGTGTTTTTCTGACAGTGAGACTGTGGACGTGAATGAACAAATGTACAAGCAGGCATTAAAACATTCCAGTTAGACATTATGCCAGTATTTTAAAACAAACAGTTGAGAATGCCATGGCTAACCACGGAAAAACATGTATCAAACTGCTGCACTCCTTTTGTATAGCTGCATTTTTTGGGGGGACAAAGTTTGCAAAGTAAGAAGCTGCTCACGTGGGTGTAAAAATATCTGAATTCCCTTTTAATATTTAATTCTCACCAAGAACACTGGAAAGCAGACCTCAGACATCGAGACAGTGAATTTCCTCTTCGTTTAATGATGAAAGAACCAATTATAAAAATTCATAAGTTTCTGTTCAAATAAAAAAAAGAATGCAAAGGAAATGTTTTGTATTCTGACCTGGACAGATAAACAAGGAATAAGCATCACAAAATTATCAGATGCTATCACAGGTTACTGCTGTTTAGTTTATACCTAAATGTTTCACCATTAATTATGGAAAATTATAAATATAGTTGTTCCAGCTCTTCTTACAGAGGTAATATAGCAATTAGAAGTGCTATTGGACACCACTGAACATCCATGGACAGGTTTCCACAAGGAAAGAATGAGTCCTGCGATATTTGCATGCTCTTTGTCTGAAACAAGTAAGCACACCTTTAGCATCCAAACAAAGTGAGGGATGTTTTTTGAGCTTTTGTTTGCCTCTTCTCTTTCTCCTCTCTTACATCTTTTGGAGCAGACTGTTTAATTCTGCATCTCTGCAACCCAATCGTGTACTACTGATACTGGAAAATAAATATATAGGCTTACGAAATTTTCCACCTAAGTTTAAAATCTCAGTCGTAAGTCAGCAGTGGGTTTGGTCCCTTTTCAAGATTAGACCAGTAATTTATTTTTCCAATATTCAGTTACCACTAAGGCATGATGCTATCTAGTCTACTGATTGCCCACAAATTCTCCTAATATCATTTTTTAACCTTTTTTAAAAATTATGCCTGCAAACAGGATTCTGAAAAAGGTATTTTATTTTAAGAACCCACTTCTCTTGTGGTGAGCAACAAGATTTCAGGTAAACTCTGAAAATGCTGTACTCTAGAAAAGGAGTTTTTACATTCAGTTTGACAGCCTGGAGTGCAAAACTTCCATATAAAGAGCAGTCAAATGATTACAGACAACATGGCACTAAATATGTAGAGGAACTTAAAAAAATATTGTGAATTTGTTTTCTCAAGTAGAAGTTAACTAACACTTTGGATGTGAAGGAAAGAAATGCATTTCCACTCTGTCCTATCTGCACTTTTAGTCCCTATTCACACTTACTTTATAAAGATCGCATATAAAACAGTTGTCATATTCTGTGATTATCAGCCATTCAGCTAGACTCAAAAATAACAGTGGTGGTTAAAAGAATCTCATAACACCCCTTCAGACTATTCCTGATGTTTAGAGTTCTGCAAGTCCTCTGGCAATAAAGACTAAATTGCATCCTGAAAAAGGGGCAATATTCAAAGAAAACAAACCTCAATTTCATCAACACTTTTGCCTTTAGGACTTCGTCAGAGATCCTTCCAGGGGCTAAATTCCCTGCCAGGAGTAATTCTATCCTAACATTAACCAAAAAAAAGATATATATTTCTTTTATATTTACATATGATACACATTTACATTCTTTTAACACCACAATTGTAGAGGGGAAAAAAAAAACTGGATACAGATTTATTATCTGATTTTAAATGTCCCAACAATATTTTTTTCCCTTTGAAAAAATTTACAAGTCCTCTTCAGGTCCTTTGAAAGCTAGATACAGTCCACGTTCCGCCGGCCACCATCCACAGTCAAAGCACCAAATTTAAAATGAAAAAACAGTATATTCTTAGACGACTGACCAGATTACAGAATCAATCCTTAATTCATTATAATTTATTTATGGGTTTTTCCTTTCCCTTGCCACATGCCAAGACATGCATTTGTATCTAACTTTTGTACGTGAAAAGTAGAAGAGAGGATACCATGCTCCAAGTATGAGACTGGGGGTGGGGAAAAAAGCAAAACCAGTTCAGTTCAGCTTTAAGGTACGCTTAGCTCTACCAGCTTTAAGGTACGCTTAGCTCTACCAGCAATTTACCCTGAAGCTTTCAGGACATCACTATTTTTATATATTTTATCGTCATCATCCTAAGAAAAAAAGCAGTCAGTCTGTATTTGATAGTGACAATACCCTCTCATTGTAAGAGGATTGTAAGAAATATGTTGGCCTCTTTCTCTTCGCTTTAAGCAATCTGAAAACTGCAAAATCATTCACTCAGATTAGTATAATACCACAGTTGTTAAAAATTATGTTTAAAACCGAGGAGCCTTTCTGAGGAGCTAAAAGGCACCACTGGATTGCTGAAAAAGTATTGTGTTTAAATTCAGAATTAAACTGTCTGTGCAACAGATACTTTTATTAGCTAAACATAAGTAACATGAAAAAAAATGCCATGACTGCTGTATCAGAATGATCTTACAGTAATGTTTCAAGGTTTTGAATACTTTGCTGTTGCTACACCAACTGGATCTACAAAATCTACCAAATTAAGCCTGTTCCTAGTATCAGCCCCAAAAGGGAAAACAATTGCTTGCCTTTCCAAAATCTGATTGTTCTCAGCCAGCTCTTTGACAACGCCTTCCACTTCTTCCTTTAGTTTCTTCATACTGTAGTAACAAGAAGCAAAAGAAAGGTTACAACTTTTATAGGGACAGTTATCTGCTATGATCACTCACCACCACAAAGCTTTCAGCAACTTGTCTTACATGCAAAATAAGGGACAGATAACAGGCTTTAACACCACTTTAGCAATATCAAGCTTTTTCCTGCAATATAAAATTCTTGGTCTTAATAGAGCAATCATTAAGTCGACAGTAATTTTTTTTTCAACTCACCTGTTCAACAGGTATAGAATATGACATCAATCAAATCAAGAAATTCTTACCCAAGAGTCATTTCCACTAATGTGTTTGAGCTTGGATAAACTGTATTCATTGTATGTTTCATCCCACTGGAAGCTGCAAACATTTTCTGTGGCAGAGCATCTTGTAACTGTAATAGATAAAAAGGAAATGTAAGTTACAACAGAAGTTGTCACATGTATCCTGATGTCCACCTTAAAATCCTTCTTTAAATTCTCCATTGCTATGGTGCCTCATAAAATCATTACAGTAGTGAGGCGGCTGATATTCCCTAAATTGAGGTTATCATGGCAAGTTTTGCATTGATATGACCTGCAGTTCCCCGATTTGTTCCACCTTCTTAACTTTCTTATACTTTCATAATAAACTCTCAAAAGGAAGAATTATCTATTTGTTGTGTTTGTGGATATCCTAAGGCAACACGATCCTAATCAATAACTGACTTTGGTAGTTCTACTAAAATACAAACAAATAACAAGTAAAATGCTGCTCTTCACCATTTCTAAATTGCTTTCACACCTATCAGGTGCTTTTCTTTCATTTATATTTCCTTTATAAAGAATAATAGTTTTACTGCATGAAAATGCTCTCATTTTTGAGTTAATTCTAAGTTTGCATTCTGCAAAGTCACTGTCCAAATTTTCATAAAACACTTTCTTTCATGTCACTAGCAGCATTAGTTTAGCAAGTATCCCCAAGCATGCATCCCCTAGTCTTGAATATGAGAGTTCTGGTTATATGCTTTGTAAGAGTATTAAGATAATCCTCTAGGTGCTTGATACCATTATGATAACAGCTACACAGAACACTTATTGATGAACACACATCCATTTGTGCAGGTTTTTTTGGGGGGAATGCTAACACTACCAAAAAAACCCCAAACAAACCCCACAAAAAAACAAAAACAAAAACCAAAAAACCAAACAAAACCAAAAAACCCAAACCTCAAAATCAATTCAGGATTCAAAAAAATCACACCACTCTGTCCGTCACTCTGACATCAGCAAAGAAGCTACTATGGACCAAATGCTACATCTGTGCAGCCCTATATTTTAATATGACCGCATTAATGTAAGACTCACTATAAACAACACTGCTGATATTAAACAACATGGAACAGCATTTTATCTATGCAAACACCTTATGTAATTTTGAAGCATTCTACCTCATTTATATAATCCTGGTATTTGGATACCTCTTCTTCAATATCAAAACACTGGTTGGTGAGAGCCAGTAACTGCTTCCTTATGTGAAGCATTTTCCTAGAAGTAAATAATTTTTCTGTTAAGAGCTTCCTTTTATAAAAGTGGTGCAGAGAACATTACCAAATATTAAAGAAATCAATAGCTTGCCTTGTCCAGTCCTCAGCCTTGTCCAAAAACGTATCATACTTGCTGACACATTCATCTTTGAATAGAGCTATGGCTTTTGTAGCATGCAAATACAGCTTTTGCCTGCAACACAGAAACAACCAGAACAGTGTTACACTGCTTTCAAACCCCCATTCCTCTAATTTACTTTCTGAAACTTGGATAAAAGGTATGTGGACTGAAAATCCCTTAATACAACTTTCTTCATGCTACTGTAACATATGAGAAATGAACACACTGTGTGAACTGACAGTTTTTGTTTCAAAAAATGTTCCCTATCAGGGAGAAAAAATATTTGAACGATTTAGTTGTGATTATTTGTATACGAACAAGTGGTCAAATGTCTTCTCCGAGTCAGTATTTATCTGAGCATGTATATTTAAGGAAAAGGGATTCTAAATGGAAAGGACAGCAATCCTTATTATTACTTCAGCATACACTTGAAACTTCCAGCATATACAAATAAACCTTTCTGCTGAGTAATACACATGCACAAACCAAACTGCATTTTTGTGTCAGCTTAAATTTATGACAAGAGAAAAAAGCAAGCAGATACAGAGATAAGGACAGGAAAATAAAACAAAACCCAATTCTGGTTAGTGTTGCAGACAGTAATCCCCGTGTAACTGCCTTACCATGCTATGCACATGAAACTAAGGGATACTGGGACACTGCAGTCTTAACACCTGCTTCTGGTATTTCATTAAGTCTTGCATGACAGCTACTGGTTAATCAAATTCTGTCTGGAGTGTAGGTGGATTGTCATCACTCATGCACACCTGTCATTCAACCAGAAAAAATCTGAATTGAGTGCTGCTCCCTTTTCTATCTAGTGGTAAATACTACAAAGGCCAGTCTCTGTTACTAATGGCAAAATGTTCTTAACACAGACCACTGGCATTTCTCTCTGTAGTGCATCAAGTAAAATAAGATGTAGTTAGGATCTTAAAGATACTGCAACAGTCCTGAAGAGACACTTGTGGTAGAAAACATACTAGTATTCAAAACCATGAAATTGAAGCCTATTTACTTATTCACATATTAATGCAAAGACACAGTTTGAGTAGTAGAAAAAGCCCTAAAATTTCTTTAGTCTGCCCAAGGGAATGCAGTTTTAAAATGAGCTATGGATTGCATCCTGATGTTTACCATATCCTTAAGAACATATGACTGGAAATTATCGCTCACGTTATTTGTCACATTAAGTTCAATCCTTTGCTGTTGTAGGGCAATGATGTGTCCAAGTCTCTTTCAGTATATCAAGATCTGTCTTACAGGTTTCCTGCCCCTGCTGTCCTTTATTTTAAGGCAATCTCCCTTCCACTTGCCAGTTACCCCATTTATCTTTGACTATGAGAAAATCAAGCAGCATGGTTCTGAGAATACCAGCACCTTCTGCATGTTAGCTTTCTATGTGTAATTGTCAGTGAAGCCACACTAGTGGTAGCAACAGCAAGAACTTTTAGAAAATTACAGAAGCGGGGTCTAAATTCATATAGCACTCAGCAAAGTCTAGGGAACCACTCAACTGACCAGCCACTAAGAAAATAACTACTTAAACATAAACATTTAGCATCATTTGAGATGCACAAGGATATCCTGCCCTGCTTCCAAGTGTCTACCCTGAAAGGTGTAGGTTTCCCATTTGTCTTCTGTCCTACCTCCCAGTATCAGAGCATGTCTCAGGTACCTTACTTAGGACAACTTAAATAGTATTAGGTATCTGTGTATGAGGAACTGAATTGATCCTGAGACAAGTACAGCAGCATGAGCAGAGCAGCTGTTCACAGTTGCTCAAGAGTTAGTCAGCAGAGCCAGTGGAGCCTAATGGGAGTCTAGACACCCAGGTTACGCACAGACACTTAACGTGGCCACCTCTCAGAAGTGACAATTTTAAACAGGCATGGAGAATTGCATTAAAATGTATTTTGCATGCTATATTTCCTGGAAGATCAAATAATTCTAAGATTTCATTCAGCTAGCCCGTATTTTATTCCTCTGTATAAAATTATCTTCACCTTAGTTACAAAGTCACTTTACTCTTACTGAGGGCTTTTCCTCCCTGAAAAAAAACAGGAAAAAAAATACTTCCTGTAAGACAGTTATGCACAGATAATGAACAGGTATTTCATGTCTACATTAGAAGGTCTACCAGTGAAGGAACTCCACTGCCAGGAAGCGCCCAATTATTGTATGCTGGCACCCTTATATATTTAAGATATTTAAAGGAATTTTTTTAAAAAGCAATCTTTAAGAGCTTATAGTTTACAATAAAAACCAACAGAAAAGGTTATTGGCAAGAGCACCTGAAGGACCTGAAAGCAATCACGGTATTTCCCAAAAGTACCTTCAAAACTTACTTGTCAAACTTGTGAATTTGTTCTTCATTATAAGGAAGCCCTAGGATCAGAGCAGATGACAAACATTATCAGTTTAATTCTGTCCTGGGTTAAGCTGAGACAGAGTTAACTTTCTTCATAATAGCTAGCAAGAGGCTGTGTTTTGGATTTGTGCTCAGAAGAAAGCTGATAAGAAGTGATGTTTACGCCGCTGCCAAGGTCAGCAGACTGGAGAAGCTGGGAGGGAGCACAGCCCCACTTAATAGCCCAGGATTTGATCTTACGTTCACGACTGAGACCCAGAGTGGCCAATAATCTATTCCATAATATACACGTCATGCCCAGTATATAGGTGAGGACCCTCCGGAAGATTGTCCCTTTTGGTTCTGGATCTCTTTTGCTCCGGGTCATCTCTCTCCAGGTGGTCGCTCTCCCAAGGCCTTCCCCCCTCACTCCAGTCAGCTCTTGGTCTGGGATGCTCAGACTATTACCTCAGTTCCGTGAGTGCGGTTTCGGGACTCTCCCTGCTCCGGGATCATTAGCGGGGAACAGGCTGAGCCTTGGTCATCGGGTGGGGGGGGGCAGTGTCGCTGTATATCACTCATTTGTATATTTTATACAGTATTATTTTCAATATTATTGCAGTTTAGTTATTAAATTGTCCTTATCTCAACCCACGAGTCCTTTTTTCCCTTTACCCCTTTAATACTCTCCCTTATCATTGGATGGGGGGGGAATTGCATGAGCGGGTGTGTGGTTTGGCCCCCAGACAAGGGCTAACCCATCACAGTTGTATTTATGTAAAACTCCACTAAATTTACCCATTTCCTATATGTTTTCCTTCTCCTATCCCGATAGGTAAAAGTGATCATTTACTTTTTTTTTTCCTCCTCTTCAGTCTTGCAATTCAAATTTATGAGACTAATAGTGGCGTTTCATTCATATGGGCTTTAAGACAGTACCTCACTAGGAAAGACCTACAGACATATTCATTGTTGCTGACTAACTCCCCATTCCTACCACAAATATCCTGGTGGAACAAGGACTGACCTGTCCTTTACATTACTGCTTATGTTAAAAGTGAATCAAATAAGTTACTTACTTCGTTCTGCTTTGTCTTTTTTGAACTGATAATAAATATCTGTGATGGAACATAGCAGCGCCTGCAGCCTTTCTGGACTAGAGTGACAAATGGAAGAAAATTAGATATTTTATGTATAAACTTAAGTATTTATTACTGAGTTTTTATGAACAACAACTCAATGTAGAATTCAATACATATTAAAACAATTAATACAGTTACTCACTTTCTGTCTTTTGGATGCATGCCTTCCTGGTTTGCCCAGGTGTCAGCCAGTAAGCCACCAGGAGAAAGTTTGGTTTTGATATCTTGAAGACTAGTTTCTATTGTGCCCTGAGAGCTGGAGAGCTATGTAAGAGCAAGAAAGTTCAGTCTTACCACTGGCTAAAGTAAAAAGTTACTTGAGGCTGAAAATAGACTGAACACATTAATGCTTTAGACCCATTTGTTTCACTGACCTTCATTAAAGAAATATGCCCAATTATCTGCCTAGGCTTTGCTAAAAGCAGATAAAAAGTGGTATTATTAAAGAAAGAATCATCTTTGATGCTGGCATTTCTGTTAGTTAATATTTATTTTCTTTCAACATTAAGTTTCTACCTTTCATATATTCCCTATTTACTTCTATGCTTGTTCTTTCGCTTTGTTAAGAATTCATATAAAGACTATCCACCTAATTCATACCTTTCTTTCTCCACAGTTCACACAACCTTAAAAATAAAAGTGCACTAATCACCTTTTGCTCTTAGAATGGAGAACTTGAAGACACTTTGGACACCAGCCTGTAAAGTTATTTTCAATTCTTCCTTACTTGTCTGGAAACATGACACAAATTTCAAAGCAGATCACTCTTAAGTGTGAAAGGGAAAACAACTTCAAAGTACAATATATTTAATGGCTATAGTTTTTTATTTGAGTATGTTAGAAAATGAGACTGTATTTTCAGGAACTTATTATTCTTTTCACCACACTGGGCTAATAAAAGGATTTACTCTGTTTTCAGAAAGGTATCCACATCTCAGTACGGGCATTTCAACAACGTTTGGCAGTCTATAAATGACTTGAACATTCAGAGTTGTTATTCACAGAAAAACCTGAGGTACTGTGTATTTGGCTTTTTCTTTAGAAACACCATTTTGAGAATAACACAGGCTTTGTAAGATACTTACACGCAACAGTTTTGTGTGTATCTCTGAAATTTCATCCACTTCTGATGCTTCCAAGCTGATCTGCATCAAATTCTCATATCTGACCACAAAAAGAGCAGTTAAAAAAGAAAATAAACCAGCATTGAATACACTAAAAAAATTCCTTGAATCTAGAGATTAATGTAACTACTTTTTCTTTTGTATGAAATACAATATCTGTGAAGCAGCAATCATCAAACACTGACAACCTTAAGTGATCATTAACAATGGAAACATTTTAGTTATGAAAAAAAATTCCTTTAATTTTTTTCCTACATTTGAGCTGTTAAAAAGAAGTTTGAAACCTCCATTCCTGGCTTCTTTATTCTATTCTCATTACTTGTACTCAACAGGCAGTGGAAAACTATTTTCTCTCATCAAATAATTTTTAAAGGGTTACCAAACTAAAGTTACTTAAAGTAGTCAATGACACACAACAAACTAGTATTCCCGTGTATCAAAATGCTCTTCTGGGCAAACTTACTGGAAAGGCTGAGTTATCAAAACCTTAAAGCCTGGGTTAGTAGCACCATCTGTTCATACTGATACTTTCCATATGACCGTAGCTCAAGTTCAAAATAAATAATTCAGGACAATATTTTTCCCGTTGAGTCTCAGTCACATTACATTTTTAAAAACACCATAAAAAACAGCTCAGCTGCTTTCAAAAAATACATACTTTGCTCAAGTTCAATACTTCATTTACCTTTTCAAATAAAAGCTTTGCACTGTCATGCTTTGAAGCATAGCCTTGAAAAGGGAGGACAAACAAGAGGACGTCCTTTGCTAACTCCGTAAAAGTCTTCTGAAGTCAAATAAACTGAAAATCCTGCCCCTTTGTAAGAGGCCAAAAGACCATTTGCAAACACATAGCAAATTTCTGTTCACATGAGAATTACTCCAGTTTGCAAGTGAACATAATTTTTGTTCAAATTGCCGCTCTAAGATACTGCTGAATGCACCACAGTCACAAATCAGAACCTACAGTGGTTTCTTCTAAGTGGCTTTCTTCTGTGGGGACCTGGCAGAATGCAGGAAGAAGCTATCTGAACCAAATACTGAGTGAACAAGAACCAGTCCTGTAAGCTAGTGTAAATTGGCTTGAAGGAGAGTTTGGATGACAACCTCAATGATTTGTAATTGGGCTACACAAGTATACTGTTATTTTGATAGTTATCAACTTTGCTAGCTTCACTGCTGGTTTGGATTTTTTTTTTAAAGCAAGTACCTTGAAGCCCAGGTGTGTCAGTTTATACATGCTTGGCATGCACACAGCAACTCTGAGAAATCCACAGGTATCCAGAATTACTACATACAAGCTGTTCAATTCGCACATGCATAGCAGCTCCTACATGGCTTACGTCTATTCACAAGGCTGCTGTGCAAACCCAATGGCTCTACATGTGTGCACTGATCATCCTGTGGGTATCTACATTTTCAGAGCAGCCTGGGAGCAAGGTTAGAGAATCCTATGACCAAGACAGCATTTGGGGGAGACTGGCAGTAGGTTGAATAGGAAACTACTTACAGAAGAATTCTATGAAGAGCCAGGGTTTAAAGTTTACATCAGACTGCAGAAGAATAACACACCTTATTCACACTAGCGAATGCTAGTTTGTGAAAAGACTGAACAAAACACTGCAAGGATACCTTAAAAAGGAATGTGACTGAGAATTGAGTGGGACTCAAAAATGAAACAAAGATCAGGAGAGAGAAAAAATGAAACTTGGAGGGAGAATTCAATGGTGCAAAATCCTACCTCCTACAGACAGCACCTGACTGAAAGAGGTAGGGCAGAACAGTCTGACCACTGGGAAACATTTGCTTCCTTGGAATGGAAGACTAGAGAAATAAACTTCTTCTGCAGTCTTTGAAACTTAGAAGTCTCCTATGCTAAAGGATAAACATTCTTTAGTTGTTCCTGATAAATTTTGTCAGTTTTAAAGAAAGCGCTCTAAAAAACTTTCTACTATATAGATCTAAATGGGTCCATATGGGCAACAGTGAGACACTGTGATACAGGTCTCTGCCATTTGAATTAACCAAAATAAGCAAAAAAAACATAATAGTCAGGCACTTGAAAAAATTATAGAAGCAGAGTTTCCTGTGCAGTTTACTTTTGGCATACCTATATACATGCACTGTGATCTAGTGATATCCTAACGCAGCTTTGGTTTTTGGTTGGGTTTGGATTTTTGTGTTTGGGATTTTTTTTTTTTAGCTGCTCTATGTTATATTTCAACATTAAAATTCCTTCCACGCAGAAAATGCTAAGGTCTTAAAGCTATGAAAGAGGCAGTATTTAATTTCATCCTTAATAAACACACACAAGCAAACTCGGTGACAAAAGCACTAAAGCACTAATGAAAGGGAAGCTACTCGATTCTTTGTCCAGGCTTTACTATAGCTTCTAAAATCAACAACAGCAAACGAGCTGAGTCAGAGAAGAAAGGAAAAAAAGAACACAAACATACAATTACTGCTCAATAGTAATTACTTGTTCCCACTAGGTTAAGGAGTAAAATCAACACTCTAATTTGAGTAAAGCATATTACTAAATCTGCTTACATCACTGCCATCAGCAAATCCAAGCCAATTCAAATTTAATTTTTATATGTAAAACCCCTGTAAATAAGCATGACTTAAAATACCACTGTCATTAAAGATGATAATGAAAAATCAATGCATTCAGTGTAGGTGGTTCTACTCACATTTTTTCAGCTTTCTCAATGTTTCTCCTGCAGAAATCCAGCCTGATGACAACCTCTGCCTTTTTATGAACCATTTCATTGTAATCATCCTTGATTATTTCACTAAAAAAGTGAAGCGTTAGTCTGTAACAAAAGTATTCAACTGCCATCTTACCAGCAATCAATAATACAATAATATACCTACAGTAGTAACTGCTAGTAAGAATTGCTTTCCGTTAGAGATGCATTAGTATAATCCTCAAATAAAACTATCTTGTGCAAGCTGTTCAATTGTACCTGCATGTTACCAGAGGTTAGACTTAAATTATCCACAGAAGAAACTGAAATGGCAAATACGTAACCCTTATTGTCTGAAAAAATTATTTTTGTTTCATTAATGACATAAAAAAGGATAAAATTCAGAATGCCTATTCATATTCAAGAAGTAAAGAAAACCTCTCAAGGTACTGGGAGATCACAGAATTACGTATTGATAATCAAGGCATATGTCAATTAAAAAAAAAATGCACAATGAAAGTCAATCAATTGCTTACATCAGCCATCGTATTCCTTTTCGCATCAGCTCCTGGTAAAGTAGCAAAGAACTCGCAACTCTACAGGCATAACATACGATACCTGTTACTGCCTGGTAGAAAAAACAAACAACATTAGTACTAATCTGGTGTTCTGTTAACAATTGTTTCGAGTCAATTAACCACAACAAAGCAACACAGATTAATAAAAGAAAAAGCAACTTGAAGATGGTAGTTTAAAATGCATAACTTTGTCCAAACTTTAGTTGGGAGATAAGCAAACACTCATTATGGAGGCAGAGCTAAACATTGTCATGAGTTTTTCCAGTTATGCTGAAATATCTGTTAGGGATGAAAATAAGTCTCTTATAAACAAAAATGACACCACTTACTCTCAGGATTTACTTTAATTTCTGGAAATTCACAAGTACGTTTCTTCAGTAGTTTAGGAATTAAACACAGACATTAAAAGAAACTTGTAAAACATGTCAGATTTTTAAATTCTAAGGATAGGGACTCCATTCTCCTAACTCCATTTACACGTTTGCTGCATTATTTAGAATTATGAACAAATTTTCAGAAATTATAATACACAATATTTTAAATAATTGATATCAACTGATGATTTTCTGTTTATTAACTTTAAAGACTTCTGGTATTCAAAGAGACATACGCTTTCAGGACTACCATACCTGAATACAAGGCTCCTCAGCAGCCAGTATTTTATAGGCATAATATAAATGGTGGTCACAAAGTCAAAGCATGGCAACGCATACATTCAGTAGTTTTAGAAGAATTACCAAAAGAATGAAACATTCTCTACTTGTCTTCCACAAATTCTGAAAACTTGAAAGAGAGACAACAGAAATTCCATTCTACTGCAGAGTCCTAGAGACTCCTCTCTATTGAGAGGAAGATTAAAGTTATTTTTCTTATGTTAAGTTTCACACCATCACAGGGGATGTTATGAATCTTCTAGCTAGCTTCAGGACTCCAAAGTGGCAGGCTCCTTTCCCCCATCATTGGACTATGCAGCAACAAAGCACTTGGACATTAGAAGGCTGATTTTTGGGTTTGTTTGGTTGGTTTTTTAAATAAACAAACATTCTGTATACAAGGTATGGCTTTAATATACTTTTGGAGCCCTTGTTAACAAGTACATTTCTATGAATCAGAATCCTCACTAACACATTAAAAATAGTTTAATTAACATCAATTATCTGAAAACCAAGTAGCTTTCATCTCAGTACCATTATCTGAGACAGGTACATAAATTAAAATCATAATCACTCACTTTAGCCATACTGGCATCCCCATCCAAGTCATAACGTTGATGTACTTTAGGAAGTAGAACTGAAACATAAAACAACCATCTGTATTTTCTTATTTTCCATAAAAGACTTCAAAAGTCTTAATAAAATAACAGATACACTAGTACATGTTTTAGAATTTTTTATTACTAAACAACACCAATGAGTCAGAAGTCAGGAATGTAAGAAGTATCCCATCTTGTTCCACTATGTAGAACACCGCTATATGAAAAAGTGTTGCTGCATATCACCCAGCTCAGTATATCTACTCCCACAGCTTCCAACAGCAGAGGCTTGGGGAAGTATACAAGAACAGGGCAAAAATCTAATTCCCTCTCAGATTCTCCCAGCTTCCAACAATCTGTGGTTCAAGGACTTCCTGAGATATGGTGAAACTTGTGTTTAATAAAAGCCTTAATAGATTTATTTTTTCTTCCATTAATTTAATGGAAGCTTTCTGAACCAATTAAAACCTTTAGCAGTCACATCCTACAGGAAAAGTCTGCAGCCTAAGTATGCTTTGTGTGATGCAAGTATCTCATATAAAGGCTCAAAACAGTTAACATGACGACTGAATTTGGTATTTCATGGTTGTTCTAGTAGAAGAGAAAGTAAGCAATCCTTATGCAGCTTCTACATGGTGCTCAGATGCCTATGAAAACTGCATAGCCCTCCTCTTCTCCTGCTCCCTGTCACCTCTTTCTCAGCTGAAAATTTCTAGCCTGTTCTATCAGTCCTTTCACCATCCTTGCTGCTTTCCTCAGAACATATTTTAGTTCTTCTATACCCAATTGGAAAGATGGGGGAAGAGGGCCTAGACCTGTCCAGAAACTCAAAGGTCAAAGCAAAGGCATGTAGTGAGTCCACGCAAAGTGATTACAGTGTTGTGCTTCACCCTCCCACCCCCAAACATTCTTAGCTTTTCATTTGCTGTTTCCACTGCTACAAAGCACTGAGCAGCTATTTTTATAGTTACCTATTAAAACTCCGAGATCGTTTTCCTGAATGGCAAAGCCGAGTCCTTGTTTAAGTTCAGACTTTCTCCTCCCCACCCTGTACCCTGTTCTTCTGTGTATCTACATCGATTTTCATCTAACCTGTTACTGTCAAGCCTTTTAGTATCATGTGGGTCTCATGCATACCTTCAAAAACAGCCTTTGTCTTAAACACTTTAAATTACTTGGTATCTTCAACAAACTGTGCTTCACTTTATTTTCCAGATTCACTTTTGAACATGCTGCACAGCACAGATTTAATAGAGGTCTCCACTAACGATCTCTCTCCACTGTGAAAGCCAGCCATTTATTTCTGTTCTTCAACCCTGTGTTTGCCCTCATGGGAGACTGTTCCCTCTTATCTCATGGTTGCTTGGTTTAATTGGGAATCTTAACAGCAGGACTTCACCAAACAGCTTTTTAAAATGACGGGCAGCCTGTGTCAATTGAATCTCCTTTGTTCTGATGCTCATTGACTTCTTCAGAAAGCTCTGACACAATATAAAGGCCCTGTTGATCCTTCCACAAACAGTTCACCTACCCACACTCTTCAGCACTCTGTGTCAGCTGGCCCGAGCAGTCAGTATGCAGGACATTCTGACAAAAGCGACACTGATCTTCCAACCAGAGGCATGTCCTCCTGCTCATCTTAAAAATGGGCCCTGGCACAGGGACTGCTATAAGCCTCTCAATGATAAATGGAAATGCAAAAACTTAATTTCTTCTTTTTTTTTCCTGTTATGGCATTACCTTTTCTTCTAAGCAAAGGTAAGTTGTTAAGACCTCCTCTCTTAACTGAAAGACTAACTACCTTCGTGACAAATTAAAAAAAAAAAGCAAAACTTGAATTTCCACTTGGTGAGTAATGGAACAAAAGAACTAGCTTTGAATTACATTCTGCAGTGTTCCTTTCTATTTGTTAAAGGTGTCATGCTTCAAAAAATTTCTGAACTCCATATGGACCACTACATCTTGACACACAAATGCTCAGGTTCACAGCACCAGGAACACTACAAGCAGGTACTGCTTCTGTAAAAATACGCTGGGTACTCAGCATTTTTGAAAAAAAAAAATTAGACTGCATACTTAGAACTTCAAGTATCAACAGAAAGAATTTTCAAGCACTATTTCTAAGACATAACAGACAAAAAATGATAATTAAATAACCCAAACTATTTACACGAGATGGCTAGATAGCTCCAGGAAAGGGGAAATGACTTTCATATACCTTCTTCATAGATTAATCCGACAATGTTCACGGCCTCCCTGCTTACTACAAAGATAGGATTCTCCTCAGTTGTTCTGGGGAAGTGCTGTGCCAATCTGCCAGGTTCCAGTATTAAACGCCGACTTTCATATATCAGTTCTTGATTCTGAGATGGTATTTTTGTCTGTTTGTAGACCAACTCATGAAATATAGCAGCTCTATAAAACAAACAATATATTCAGTAGCAGTTAGACTCACTACAATAGTTCAACAATTCAGATTTTGTATTACTCAAAATAAAAATCCCTTTTGACACATAAGCAGAACAAAAAGCAGCACATTGCCTAAGGCTCCAGGTTGCTCTGTTACAAAAATAAATGCTATTTCCTGCAAAATATCAAACTTCCCTTTCTACCTCTGATTTTCCACCAAAGCACGTCTGTGTAAACAAACCTGCTTTGGCCTGAAGCCTGAAGGTCAGTAAAAACAGGCAACACCAGATGAGAGGAAGGAAGCACACTTTAGTTTTCTCGGGCATACCCATTTCTTCAAAGGAGATGGACGGTGTCTCCTAGAGAAAAGTCTGGTGTTTTACGTGTCGAAAAGCACACCCCTTAAATTCAGCCTGTAAGCTAACAGCCAGCCAGATTATCTCCTAGAACAACAGTGATAAGGAAAACCAACAACATTTTGGTATTTTATTTCCAGCAACAAATGGATATAAGGCATAACAAACCTCTGCCCCCCAAAAACAAACAAAACCTCCTATAAAGAAGAAAAACCTTAAGCACACTAACAGGAAGGACCAATTTGCCTCCTGTGCTGCACTACTACAGTGTCACTTCTTAATACTACAGCTAGTACATAAGTAGATCATAAAGGTAAATAATAACAAAATAAATTTTAAAATATATTTTAAAAAATCAAGTACAAAGAGCAGTTTGAGCTACAAGCAAGACTTGTCTCCAAAAAAGTATTTGGGCTCTCTCAAAATATGAATGACAGGACAGAAAAGAAAAATCGGAAAAGGCCAGAACTGTATTTACACAGTTGCATATTAGAGAATAACACATGCTCTGTAGTAAGGCAGAGAAAAGGCACTTATTTTTGTATCAAACTGTAAACTAGACTTTACAGCTTTCATGGTCATTAAATGCTGATGTTAAAGTGAACTCCATATAACTCAGGATCCTAAATTGTACCAATTACAACTTCAGAACCCCTGTGAGAGTTTTAAGTCAGATACAGACGACGTGCATATCTTGTATTCTTGAGGACAAGATAAGAACAGTGAGAGTTGAACACAGTCTCTGGAAAACTGCTTTGTAAAAAAAGTAAAGTACAAACGTGGGATGGGATGTTATCCATTAAGAACACATTGTAACACATTAAGGATTAAGTCTGTGTTCTGTCACTGGTTAAAACCAAGTTTAAGATCAGTTGATTTGACCTTCAATGATTTTATTTTTATTTTTGGTTAACATGCTTCTATGCACTGTGACTGCACAGGGGAATAACAAGCTCTCACTTCCTCAGATAAACTGCCACAGAAAGGCTACTGAATTTGTAACACTGCTGATCTGAGGTCACTGAACTCACTGAATTTGCCTGAATAAGAGCAAAGTAATGAAAACAGAGAGAACACTTACGTATTATAGCTGTGAATATAAACTTTGTGCAAGGTCATCTGCTGCAGTGAAAAGATGTGGATTACTATTCGGTGCAGTATGTCACTCGTCTCTGCAAAGAACTGGTCAAATCCCCAGCATTTTTCCTGGTCTGCTTCAAGAATGTTCGCAAGGACAGGTGTGAGCAGTACCTGCAGACCCCTAGAGGACACCCGGAGGAAATAACACATGTTGCATCTACTTGGATCTTTTCACCTTGTAACCAACTGCAATACTTCATTTGACTTGTCTAGTGAAAGCAAATCTATCATCCCTTGAAGAATATTCCAGCACTCTGTTTTTTCTCCTCTGCTGAACAACAAAATGTTGTTTTTCATTAATACCCATATTTCATCTCTTCCCTTTTTAGGTTCAACTATCAAATATTTCTTTCTTGATATCTACAAATTTCACAAGCATTGGGAAAACGGCACGCAATTCAAAAAGTCTACATTGTACTGCTTCAGTCACCTTCTACCACTGCTGGGCAGTAGTCTTTACCCAGCTCACCCCACATACTTACCACAGTTTATCACTTTGAAGGAAGCTACGGCCATTTATGGTTCGCTGGCTGAGCTGCTCGTCTGAGCACACTCCATTGCTTTCAATCAAAATCAGCTGGGTTAGCAAAGACTCATTATTTAAATTGTCATCACTAACAGAATTCATCCTGATTGAGATGGAGCTAAATAAGTATGCCATGCATGCAGCTCAACTGCTGCAAAGAAAAATGCGCAACTATTGCCTTACAGTCATTACTATTCTAGGAGAAAGGCCACCTTAAATTTCATGTATTTCTACCTTGTGAATCTGAATTGCAAGGAACTTTATGGATCTTCCTCATGTATTATCATGAACAACTTCTTCGAAGTTTTAATATTATGTACACACCAAACTTGAATCCAGCATTAAAACTGGTAACATTTTGAAGCAAGCTCCAGTGGCTTACAAGCACACTGACAGTCCTATCAGAGGTCAGTGGATGCTGTGCTCAAACTCACTTCAGTACTAGACTTATAACAGTAAATACTGTTTAAATGCTAATTGAAAACATTACTGTAAACAGATGTTTAATTTAAAAAATCTGCTTCCTTTATTATTTCAAGCACTTCAATTATATGGAATAAGCATATATAGAGGGGTCAAGGATAATAGAAAGGGC